AAGCAGGCCCTCAGATTTCAGACAAATTTCCCTGATTCAGAGATTTTTCAGAGGTTTTTTTTTTTACCAACCCTGATGCGCTAGGACTTTTTTTAGATAACCCTGAAATTTCAGGGTTTCTTTATGGCTGAACTCTGTTTATACAGCGTTGCTATTGTAGAGGACCCTGTAGCCTCTGTAACAGCGTGATTGCCCTGCCATAATAACCGCATGCTTCCCCTGCTCGATGTGTGCTGCGGGGCTGGGTGAGGGGGCACTTGGCCCTCCGCCAAATGTAGGGCTTGCGTGTGCTGGGGGATGTGTGAGGGGACTTTTTGGCCCTTAGCCAAATTTAGGGCTAGTGTGTTGGGGGATGTGTGAGAGGATTTGGCCATTAGCCGAATTTAGGGCCCAATGAGCGCCTTGGAGCGTTGTGTGAGGGCGAGATTTCTTCCCGCTCCTGCGATCTTGCTGCAACCTTGGATCAATTGGCAAAATTTGATTGGCCGAGGCTTCCTGCAGAAATTCGCCGCAAAAATTGATGCCTCAACATAGCAACATCATGATTCTTGCGGGAATCCTTCCTCCCTCACTTCTCCCCCCCCCCCCCCCTCCCCCACTCTGCCCCGTCCCTACCCTCCCCGAGTTCCGTTCCGCCCATCTCCCAATTTCGTAAAATCAGTGTGATATTCTGAAGTAACACTGATTACTCAGCGGTTTTTTTGGGGGGAGCCCTGAAAAATCAGGCTAATCATGGGGGGGGGGGACCCTGAGCCATCAGGGTACCTCAAAACCAATCTGAGGCCCTGATCGGAAGGTTCGGGAAAAATATCGAAGGGCCTCGATGTGTCGAAGCGAGGTCCGGAAAGGCCCAGGAGGCTCGAACTGAAAGGTCTGGAACCATGCCTGATTTTATCAGACTATTTTAGTCTGATTGTCTGAAATTTCAGACCCATTTTTTTGCCAATCCTGATTTTTCAGACTTAGGCTTTTCTGGATACTGAACCCTTCAGAGTTGTATGATTTTGGATCCTGAAGTTTTCAGAGAAGTCGTTGTGCGGATACTGAGGTTTCAAAGTACATCGCGTATGGACTCTGAATGCGACATCCATGCAGCTTGTACTTTCCACGAGATTTCCTCTACTACGTCATATGCTGCCTTCCATCATTTCACCCCTGCAGGTCCCATGTGCAATATCTGCACTTGGCAGGATTCCTGCCCCTTCTGTGACTGTGATGCTGCCTCAACAGAGACTTTGCCGCTCAGTGCGCCATGCATCCTGCCAGGCGTGCCTGCTAAAAGGACCTCTACGTGGGTGTGTTGGAAGCCATCAAGGGCTGGTAATGCGGGAAATTCGCCCTCGCTGGCAAGTGCAAAACTGTCCGACTGACCGTGACTGGCGACAGTCCATGCCAACACATGGTTCGTTCGTAACGTCAGCTCACGTTTGGCATGGCGGCGCAGGTTTGGAAGGGGCTGCCATCCAGAAGCTGTCGACGAGGGTTAACCAAGAAGCACGCGCCTCGGGCTTGATGATGCCCTTCTTCTTCGTCCCTCTCATCCCTCCCCCTCCTCTCAGGCGCACTCAGGCTTTTACACGGGGTCTGTAAATCGTACTCCTCAATTCGTGTTTCGGAGTTGTCCTCCTCACGTAGGTTCTTGTTTGTCGACCCCGTCAACAGCCATGATGGGGAATCCTGCAGAAGAAGATGATGAGCCCAGCACCGATGAACCACCTCATAGTAATGAGCCTGCAAAGGTTCGTTGCTCCGCGATAGACATACTGCGGTCGTTAGGTTCTCACGTCGTTGCTGTTGTGGTTTCCTCCGCAGCGGAGGAAACCCAGCCTGCTCTAAACCCACCTCCGTCCGCGCCCTTCGTGCCACCACCATATGTCCCTCCGCCTGCAGTCACCTCATCCAGCAGAGGCCCGACTCTGCCCGTTAACTGCGTCACCGCCACCTCAGTCCGCTACAGCGTGCCCTGCGCGTCCACGATTTCATCTGCGAAGAAACAACAGACGGGCAAGTACACGCAGTCTCAAATCATGATCGGAGGTAGGCTCCGCCGCCCGTCCACGCCGCCATCACCTAGTGTAGTCCCTGTCGTCGTTGAACCGCCACCGCCAAAGCTGAGTAAGAAGGAATTGATTGAGCAGAAATACCTCGTCGGTGAAGCAAAGTACAAAACTTCATGGCTGCCTTTCTTTCCATGGCTACTGCTAACCAAAACAAAGGACGGTTACCCTGCTCTCAAGTGCAGTGTCTGTTTGACGTTTGGTAAGGAGACCACCAAGTACAGCTCTTCGAGCGATGGTGGCCGAGACCTGCAGACACAGACCATGCGCATACACGAACACTCCTCTGCACACAAGGAAGCTGTGGAGGCCCAGCTGAAGATTGCCGACGACATCGCCGACGGGCAGAAGAGGATTGACGACTATTTGTCGTCGGATGTCGAGGGGAGGCGGGTCGTGCGACTGCTCCACGCTGTTGAGTTTCTCTGTAAGGTCGATGCTCCCATCAGCATGTTTCCTCGGCTATGTCACTTTATGGCTGAGCAGGACACCCCGGACCTATCGTTCCAGTCTTACGGTGTTTACCTCACTCGGTATCAGAGAGAAGCACTGATCGACATCAGTTGCGACGAGAGCACTGATCGTACCAGAGGGAAGCACCTGATAGTGTACCTCACGTTCCTACGCCATCGCCGTGTCGTCACCGATTTTTTCTCGTTGCTCACCGTCGAGAAGTGCGACGCCGCCTCCCTGCTCTCCGTGCTCCTCACTCATCTTCAAGGCGCCGGCATCGAACTCAACCGCATCGCGGGAATCAGCACCGATGGCGCTTCCGTCATGGTTGGGCGCGAGAACGGTCTCGTGGCGCGGCTCCGCGAGCACATCCCTCACCTTGTGTCGTCCCACTGCATCGCCCACCGGTATAGACTCATTATGTTATGTTCTTGCTTTGTTTTTAATCGTTTACTAATTTGTTTCTGTGGATTATGCGCAGGGAAGCTCTGGCTGTGAAGGACGTTGCGTTTGCCTGTCCAGACTTGAACATGGTCGACAAGGTTATCCGAACTCTGGCCGATCTCCTTGGCCGTTCAAGCGTGTGGAGCCAGCGGTTCAAGTACCTGCATCGTGTCATCCAGAAGACCAACCTTGAAGTTCAAGGAATCCACGCGATTCGGTGGCTGTCCAGGGGCGAGGCAGTCAGACGCCTCTGTAAGGTCCTCGGTGCTGCCATCGTTTTACTGTATGAGTATAACCATGAGCTGTACGAGGTTGTCATCTCATACAAGTTTCAGTTTTTTCTCTTCTTCCTGGCGGACGTCCTCGCCATCATGAACGAGCTCAACCTCAAGTTTCAGCAGCGAGAGGTGAGCCCTTGCATGTGAGCTTGTGGTATGTTCTTTCACAATCAGCACTAACATTCTGCCCCTTGTTTTGAGCCCCCATGTTTCCACCGCCCCACCCCCCCTCCCCCTCCGACCGCAGGTGGATGTCACCGAGATAACACAGGACGTCGACTAGGCGGTGTGGGATCTTCGGCACCGCTACTTGGAGTGCGGCAGGGTTTTCGGTGCGGGCGTAAGCGGCACGTGGCTGTCGGCTTTCTCAACCGTGTACGGGCGAGGGGGGGCGAAGAGAGTGAAGGTGCACGGCATCGACAAGGACGGGCAGCCGGTGACACACACGTACCAGATGCACGAGCGGCAGATCAAGGGGCACGTCTACGAAAGCAACTACCGGGACTGCGAATTGTTGTGCGCGAAGTTCGCGAGGGGGAGCGTGACGAACCTGCTAGAACGGCTGGACGATCTGTCGAAGCTTAGGCCGACGAAGCTGTTTCGGGCGGGCAAGTGGCCGCGGCTTCGGATGGTGAGGGAGAAGAAGACGAGGGAGTATCTCCATGGCTGCAGTGCTATCTTCGAAGACAGGCTTCCCGGGTTCGATTTGAAGGAGGCGGAGAAGGAGCTGGCAACTTGGGCCCCGATCATGCAGAATCACCACAACGAGGAGGGCTTCTACCAGGGCCTGACGAACTACCTTGGCAACACGGAGTCAAGCAGGTAATTCGCACCTCCAAAGCACGCTGCTGTGTCTGCCTGTATATGATTGTTTTTGCCAGTTTGACCACCATGCCTGTCTATGATTGTATGTACTTCTATTGTTCCTTGCCCACCATGCTTGTAGTTTATAATTGATTCTATTGTTCCACGCCTCTTGTGTGTGGTTGTTCCATGAACATGCGCTGGCCCAACCTCATGCTTCTCTGGCAAGCATGCGCGGTGTTACCACTCTCAACTGTGGAGTGCGAGCGTGGTTTTTCCAGGCAGAACGTGATCAAGTCTTGGGTCCGTGGTGATCTGTGCAATGCCCGCCTGGGTGAGCTGATGATGATTTTGCTGCTGAGATACGACATCAACTGGCAGGAGGCGCTGGAGCTGTGGCATGCAAAGAAGAGAAGACCAGCGAAGTCAGTGGTGTTCGCATCACAAGAGAGGAAGTGCAAAGGCAAGGCTCTGCTAGAAGAGGCAGAGCAGGATTCTCCAGTGCCAGTCTACTTAGGAGAGGATTGGGCTGAGGAGGAGGAGGAGGAGGGGGAGAGGGATGGTGGACGTGCAGTAGCTATAGAAGGCAACCCCTTTCTGTCGGATGATGAGGCGGAGGATGTCGTCGCTGTGGATGTGCCAGAGTTCTAGCTAGGCTACGAAATTAGACTAGGTGTTGGCTACCTGCCCGAATGTTATAAAATAATGACGAGTAAATGGTGAAATGACGACTCTGATTAATACTTGCGAACCCTGAAGAAATCAGACTTGAGAGTCACTGGATCCTGAGAAATCAGACTACCATGGAAACTGAAACCTGGCTACTCAGACTGCGGATTTTTTTTTGGGGCCAAAATCAGAGTGGGTTTCTTTGAAACGTCAGCCCTGTCTGGAACTCTGGCGATGGTTCGGGACTGTTCGAGTCGTACGCCCTGTAGCAAGCCTCAGTAAGGAATTACTAATTCCTTACACATGCCACTCAAGGCCCATATCGTAATTCATGGTAGGATTACAATGCAGCATTATATGCATGACAAACCTGCAGCTTGCATTGCATCTTTATTGCACACCACGCCCCACACAACACAACACAACACAACCCCTGCATAAAATGGCAACAATCTGTCACCTCTACCAACTACTGTCACTGCTACTTCGACATGAACTGATTCTCAGGTGCAATGCTGAGAGGCAGAATGCCGCTGTTCCTCATGTGGAACCTCTACCGGTATGTTTGGTCCTGTAGCCTGTTGATGCATGCACTAGCAGCAGCATCTCACCACCTCTATCACTTTGACATGAACTGATTCTCAGGTGCCGTGTTGAGAGGCGGCATACCAGAGTTTCCCATTTGAAACCTCGTGATGTTCGCCTTGTAGCCTGTTGACGCAGGAGAAAACAAACAAGGCACAGTCAGTCAGTTAGTTGTCATGTAGGCACGACACGAGGTAAGCAATCAGTCAGCTGTCAGGTTGAAGTTGTGTCGACGAGCAAAGTTTTCCCATGCGACTCTAAATGTCGAAATGCAGTTCCACTGTTTGCCCATGCGCCTCGGGTTTTGGCCAAACCTCACTTGACGCCTGGGACCCCTGCGACGTGGGTGCAAGACAAAATGCGACCACAAGGGCCGTCAGTTTTAGCCAGGAGGGCGACACACGTGGTCAATGTGACGGCGGGAATCGCACGGAAACGTCATACTGCTGCCCGGAAACACCCATCTCCTGCCAAACTTGAAAGAATGGGTGAAAGGGGAAGAAAGGGATTTTTTTATTTTTTTTTTCCAATGGCGATATTTCCGTCGGTCTTTCGCATACCTGGCCGTCCGATTTTCGCTAGGGTTCCGATTCCCTCCACAATTTGTAACGCTTGTCGTCTGGGCCCCAGGCGGTTCGTGATTGGGTGCGACCAGGAGCTTTTTGCTTTCAATCGGTTAGGGTTGGCATCGACAGTGTGGGAAAACTTGGTTGCGGATGGGAAAACTTGATTGCGAGGGGAAAACTTGGTTGTCGGCCCAACTTCAGAATTCGCTGTCAGTCAGCTGTCAGTCAGCTGTCAGTAAGCTGTCAGTCAGCTGTCAGCATGCATTGAGCCCAAAACAAAGAGGGCACCTTGCTCGGATTTCCACCGATCCAGACGTGCCAACAATCCTCTCCTTGCTCGGAGAGAGCACACTGCCAAAGAAAGGCATTATCCTGTGGGATTGCTGCTGTAGCTACAAGCTCCTACAAGCAATGATCGCTTACAAGATTAGATGACTGATACAAACTCACCACCTGAGACGATCCATCCGCAGTTCTAAGTTAGGAGTATTCCTAAGAGAAGGAGCTGTACCAGTGCAGGGTGATTCCGCTCACCAAATGGTTATCATATACCGGTATGTATTACACGTCATACGCACATGGTTAAAGTTACAACTCACCGTCTGAGGGAATCCAGCCGCGGTTCTTGAGCTCGCGGTATTCCTGGGAGAAGGAGCAGCACCCACAGCACCAGTGCAGGAGAAGATCGTTGATCGTATCGCCGGGCAGATTGTACTTGGCCCTCAGCTTGGTTCGGAAACCTGGGGCAAAGAGCATGGGTGGGAAAGCGTGAGCTGTAGTAGGCAGCCGCACGAGCTCTGGTTTCGTAACCCAACTATTCTAAGTTAAAGTAACTGTTACAAAGTCGGTTCAGAAGTTTCTCATGCACGTTATAAATGTCTGAAGTTACTGAGAGAGTGCTAAGCTACAACAGAAGGATCTGCGTTACAAAATAAATTATAAAAGGAGTACAACAACGGGGGTGCGATGAATGAGATGAGAAAGGAAGAACTGACGAGCTGAAGCAATGGCGTTTGGAACATAAGGGTGGTCTTACCAAAAGAATACACGCATCCGGCCCCTATGCAGAATGCAACAAGGGCCCACAAGGCACACGCCTCCTCCATGGCTGCAAGAAGAAGAAAAGAAAAATATATATAAAGAAAGGGAAAAAAGAACAAGACAAGAGGGAAACGAGGTACAGGTGTCAAGAAGACAGGCGAAGCAGCTTACACAGAGAAACAACTGTGTGGGCTACACATTTTTTGTCAGAAACCGCCTGAATAGCAATGTTGAGAGGAGTGCCATCCCATAGGCCTAGTTCTGCGACGTCTCAAAAATGCGTAGCAGCGAAATGGGAGCATGCACACTGTTTGCCTGAAGCCATCCGAATAGCAGTTCTGAGACGAGACCCCATAGCTTCCATCACACGGACTCGATTGAGTCGATCGTGCAGCACGAGAAATGTTAGTGCACATACCCACATCACCCTCGGGTGCCGTTCAAGTGTAAAAGCTTTGGAACAGGGTTACGAGCTGGGCGATAGACAGATTCGAAAGTTGGGTTGCGTTTGGTTTGGGAGGGGTTTTGCATTGGCTGTAAAAGTCAGGCTCGACATTATTGGAAGGGGGCGACAGCCCAACTGAGGTTTGGTGTGCGACGCACCCCACGTACAGCCAAACGTAACAGTGAAATCGCATGGTCGCAGGTGCTGGGGCAAACCAAGTCTAAAAGGTTCTCTGAATTATGAGAATGCAATGCAACCCCCGGGGAAACCCAAGTTTCTGAGACGCAAAAACTGGGCGACGTACCCCAACCTCCCCTCGCGTCTGTTTGTGCGACTCTGCCAGATCCGATTTTTGGTACGAACTCGTACGAAATTTCTGAGTTCGTCCCTCGTCGACCAGTCAGGCCTTTGGGTTCCTATTCAACTCTAAAAGGTTTGGAAATATGAGATGGGGGCTTCAAACGCACCCATCCCCATTACTGTCCCGTCACGGTCTCGGCGAGTCGCTAAAAAGAATCACCTAGTTATATTGCCTGGTTTGGCGCACTTACCCACGTTACCGTCCGTCACGATCTCGGCGACTCGGCCAAAGGAGACGCAGGGACACCAGAAAGCGCAGCAACCTGCAGGACAAAATAAAATAAACGAAAATGCTGAAATCAACAGTGCAGGCTGACTCCACGCAGAGAACGCCAGCAGGCGCAGCAACATGCGGGATGAAATCAAGAGATCGGGAAGAAGACGAAAAGAAAAACAAAAAAGGTTATTTAGTCGCCTAAAAAAACAGCCTGCTGGATGAAAGTAAAATAAAAAACGCGAGAAGTGAGTTGAATGGCAAAGCGTAGCATTGTGAACCTTTCAATTAGCAATTCAGAACCTAGGGGAAAAAAAATCAAACAAATAAAAACGTTAGAGACTCGTCACTGTGATGGCGCAAGCAAAATCTGAGCATTTTGACGCGTGTTCATGTGAGTCATTGTCGAACGCGCCACATTCTACCCGCTGACATGCGATAAGAAGAATTGAAATGAAAACACACGGAAAGCTGAAAAAAAAAACACTAAAGGGAGAAAAAATAACAAAAAAACGTTCTTACATGCTTCCATGTCGTCGAAGCAGGCGCAGCATCCCGTCGACCACGCGCCCATCGGCACCGCATTGAATTGCACAGGTGGAGGGACGGTTGGTGCCGGCGCGGGGTACCCGGCTGGCACGGGTGCTGGTGCAGGGTTCGGTACAGGGTACCCGTACGTCTCGGCGGCCATGGTTTGCCCGGTTCAGACAAGAGGCTGTTCGCGAGAGGAGCGAAAGCCCGCGAAGTGGTTGTACCGTGGATCGACAATTAAGCCTTTGTCTCTAGGGTGAAAGCCCAGAGACGGAGACGTGCACAGGGGGGGGACTCCCTGTCGGACAGACACGGGACGGGAGAGCACAGAGACGAAGGATGGCGTAGCACTCAAGCCAGGAAATATACCTTTCCCGCTCTATTGTCCCACTCGGAACAGTCCAAATTGCAATCCCAGCTTACAGGTTCTCCGCATGACTCGCGTTGACACTGAACCTGATTGGCTGCAGTCTGAACGATAGCGAACAACCAAGTTGAATTTCGACAATTACGAGATTCAGAGATGGGACGTCGCGCGGGCATCTAATGTAGTGCATGAGCGATATTTTGTAACCAAGTGTCAGTGTTAACTGTAGATTTTCCCCTTCAAGGTACCGTTTGCAAGTGTTTTACTATTTCCTGCTTACAGAATAGAGCCGCGTGAAAAAAAGCATGATACTAAGTAGGAGTAAAGGTGTACTGATTCCGGAATATTCTGATCACTGTAATCAGTAGAAAGGAGGACGGCGCGGTTGTCAATGAGCGGTTTGGGGAGGCAGGCATACCGGAGAATGAGGTTCGGTAGGGGGTTCCCTAAGTCCGAGCGAGGTACGGGAACCAGTAGGAGGGTGAGATAAGCTCTGTGTGAGGTACGCGAATGCGGTGTGATGGTGGTGCCAGCCACTGGCTGGTGGCTGTTATTGCTTTGCCCTTTTGGCTCAGTTTAAAGGTGTGGTTCGGTATACGTCAGAACCTGAGACTCGGCAGTGAATTTGATGAACCTCTCCGGCGAGCCTGCCTGCACCTCATCACGCCGTGTGCCTCAAGGCGAAAAGTGCCCTGCGCGAGAGGGAACCGATGGATTCACGCACAAGGATACCATGCCCGATAAGGTACAGCGCTGATTCCAAGCTTCTTGTTGAGGGTCATTCTTTCAAGTACACGTTGAAAGAGCCCACTAGAACAAATCTTACCTGACTCATGTGAATTATTTGCTCATCCTGGTTTTGGTGTATGACAAGGCTGTTTTGGTCTTGAATAAAGGCTGCTTTGATATTGCGATGAAATTATAAAAACATTTCATACGAACACTCTTATTGAATATAAGATAAGGGCGTGTACTCTAATCACACTTCTATTGAATATAAAGGCATCTACTGCTTGGACATGAACTGATTCTGAGGAGGGACGTTTCCAGCTTGGAACCTCATAATGTTCGCTCTGTAACCTGTTGGTGCAAGAACAGAGCGCATGCATCAGTAGGGCACTCAAAAGGCACAAAACAAGGTCACTGATTCAGAGGTGGATCAGCTTGAAGTCCAATGAGGTAGACTAGTGGATAACCGCCATGGAGGTTATCAACTCACCCTCTGCAAGATTCCATCCGCGGTTCTTTAGCTCCCGGTATTCCTGGGAGAATGCGCAGCACTGGCAGCACCAGTGCATGAGAAAATCATTGACCGTATCGCCGGGCAGATTGTACTTGGCCCTCAGCTTCGACCGGAAACCTGGGAGGCAGAGAGGAGGTGGAGGATAAACGGATGGTCGGATGGACGCACGGGGAATGCACGGAGAGAACGATGGACGGACGGATGCATGGCCATGCTGTGACAGTCGTCTGATAATAATCATACCATGCTGTGACATGGAGAAGCGGGGCCCTGGGAATCATAATCGGATCATGGCATGAGATGGTGTGAGGTGAGGAGCCTCACAGCAGCCTGCTTGGCCCTTGCATCCTCGCAACCAAGAGGAAGCTCGCAGAAAAGCTGTCGATGAGAGGAACTCACCAAAGGAGTACACGCATCCAGCGAAGGGGCAGACCTCGACGAGGTACCGGAGCGCGCACGCCTCCTTGATTTTGCGGGGTATTTTTGAGAATTCTCAAAAACACCCTGCAAAGGAAAGAAGAGGAAGCTCACTGATAAGCTATAGATGGGAGGAACTCACCGAAGGAGTACACGCATCCGGCGAGGAGACAGATCTGGACGAGGTACCAGATCGCGCAGGCCTCCTCCATGGCTGCGAAGATAAACAGGGGAATAAAGACGCCTTTTCTGGGTTGAAATCAGACGGCATATGAGGAAGGATAACGGATGAAAGCACGCTATTTTTTTAGAGTTTCGAATCGGTATCGCTGGGAAGGCGACGTTGAAAAGCAAAGGTGAGACACACAGAGGGAGCAGGCGGCGTAAAGAGGTGAAAACCCGTGATGACTCATTTCGCCCTGTTCCGGCCGAGCGTCGGAAATGGAAGACGTTCAACGTTCAAAGTGTACGTCCCCATGTTTTTCGTCCGTTGCGAGTGTACTTACCCACGGTTCCGTCCGACGCAATCTCCGCGACGCGGCCAAACACCACACAGGGGCAAAAGTAGGCGCAGCAGCCTGGGGTCGAAAATTCGGAAATGATGGAAACGCAAAACAGTAAGGGAAATATCAATGCGGGCCAATTCCGCCAAACATTACGCAGGGGAGAAAAATCGCAGCATCATGGGGGTGGAGTTTTAGCCGGATATCAGGAAAAGCGCAAAACATCTCCTAGACGAACGGAACAGAGACGCAGGAATAAACGTGACGTGATGCGTGCGTGCATGTCGCAACACAATATTTCCAGCTTTCTTATAAAAAACGCCGGCCAATTGTGATGTCGAGATACTAAATAAGTTCTCCAGATTCGATGAAGATCCAGAATTACGAATCTCTCCTCACAAATGGCTATCGCCCTCGTGCCATTCGGGGCTTCTGAGCCGGCTCGGGACAAAAAAACTCGTAAAAGGTAATCTCTTCCAGAAATCAGTAGACCTTACATGCTTCACAGTCCTCGAAGCAGCCGCAGCATCCCGTGGTCCACATGCCCATCGGGGCTGCATTGAACTGTACAGGCGCGGCCACGTGTGGTGCAGGTGCAGGTGCGGGATACGCGTACGCCATAGTAGTACTTGTTCGCAGGCTTAGGACAGAAAAGGCGACCGAGGAAGATGAGACGAGCGAGCACGATCGAGAACGAGCGAGAACGAAGAGGTGCAAGGGCAGGAATCTGAATGCGATATAACAGAGATCGAAGTACTTGGATCGAAGACTACTCGTCGAGAATGCTAGTCAGCTTTATGCACGCATTCATGGGCCTTGTTGAGGTGAAAATGTCGTGAAAAGAGCGTTCGAGGGGGGGGGGGGGGGGGGGGGGGGGGGTGAGGAGTTGGATTCGCTGATTTGGGGTGGAATGATTGGGAGTGATGACGACGAGCAGGGAACTGGAAAGCCGTGGCGCGACGTGCCATAGACGGGCGAAATTGGTAGCTCATCTGGTTCGGTGTTTGGTGCTATGGTCTGGTCTTTGGCAGGTCCGGAGGAAAGGCCTCCGTCCGCATGCCTGGCTCACCGATTATTTTGCCCTGGGAGAGCAGGTTTGGGACATGGCACTTTGCCTCTCACTTCAAGGTCTGCCGGACTGCTTTTCTACGGAATGCCTGATTGGAGTGAAGGCTTGGAATATCCGCTTCGGCAATGGTATGGGAAGCAGGTCAAGTCAAGTGTTGGCACACAATTAGGGCGTGTGACGTACGAACAAGCCTCCAGTACGAACTTCTAGAGCGGTAGAGGACGAACTCGGTAAGTTGCAGACAGTTATAACCACGGTACAGAGTGGTGAAGGTACGAACTTTTGATATATTTGCAAAAAGTCACACGCCCTTATTTGTGGGACTCGCTCATTCCTCACTTGCAATTGCGTGAAAGTTTTTTTTTTTTTTTTTCCCCATGGAGCAACAATAATTGCGCGAAGCCGTCTGGCTCTTTGCCCCAGCCAACGTAATGACGACGTCCTGCCGAAGCGGTGCGCCCAATAACGGGTTCACAAGCGACAGGGATGAGGTCACATGTACACCTAGCCAAATAACCCACATGTAGGGATTGTAAGTTGTAACCCCGTTCTCACTTCACATGCATATTGTAGGGATTGTTGAGCATGACATCTCGTAACTTGTGATAGAATTATGTGAGCAAACACGCACACATACCGTAGTCCAAATAAGCTAACTATGAAGGAGAGGCACCTCATGAATTATTAACCCAAGCACCCTTGCTTAAACAGAAACACTGACTTCCCTCGTGGAACATCACTAGGACAGATGAAAAAAGACATCCGCAATGTACCGCAACTCACAAACGCCATGCTTGATGTCAAACCCCTGGGAAAAGCTAACCCGTCATGAACTGCTGCGGAGGGGGGGACCTGTTCTTGTTTGCTGTGTAACCTGCATTCCACCAAGCACAACCAGGTGTCACAAACAATGCTCAGTACAATGTCGGAAAACAGCACTTCATGAACTTGCAACACTACTGGGAAAAGGGGGGGGCAGTCCACCATAATCCCAAGGTGTTAAGAGTCTTACCAATGTAGAAGCAACTCGCCGACAATGCGCTCACATCACGTATAAAACCATTACTGTACAAAACTCACCAATGGAGGGGTCCCAGCCGCGGTTTTGGAGCTCGCGGTACTCTTGGGAGACGGCGCAGAGGCTACAGCACCAGTGCATCCAGATGTCGCCGCAGGGTTCTGCTGGAAGGCCGTACTTCAGCCTCAGCTTCTTTCGGTATCCTGGGAGAATGGATAAGGGGAAGGCAAGCCGGGAGGGAAGGATAACAGATTGAAAGAGTACGGCGACATCAAGGAGTGCGGGGAGAAAGGAGAACAGAAATATGGTCAGAACATGGGGACGCAGGGGTTTCCCGTCTCTTCATAGCGATTTCTCACAGTTTTTTTTTTGTTCATTGTTTTTTGTTTAATTATAACACCTTTCCTGATAGGCATGACGGGAACTTACCCATGGAGTAGAGACACCCGCACCGGGAGAGGCATTCGATCAGGTACCAGAAGAGACACGTTTGCTGAGCATCTGCAATTTCACAAGGTGACCCACAAATGAAGTCATTCGTGCATGTCCGACATGGGTCAGGCTAAGTGATAGAAACGATTGGTTACAGAACGAGGTTGCAGGACCAGCAGAAAATTCTCGAATACATCAGCCGATAACCAGTCATTGACGCTTAATTTGAAACGAAATCGTGGCGGTGGTGTAAGCTTCAACCGATTGGTGCAGACTTTCAACTTGAAGCCATGGGTGTAAGCTTCGAGTCCGTGATAACGTACCGGAAATCAGCCAGCGATTGGGGCTTACCAGCTTCTCCCGCATCCGCAATTTCAGCAATTCGGCCGACGGCGACGCAGGGACACCAGAAGACGCAACAGCCTGTATCGGGGACGAAAAGGTATTAAGAGCGTTAACATGCAACGATAGCCTCGGAAATCAACAGGTAGGCTTTACGCGGGAATGCTTGAACAATCATGCGCGCTAATGCTAAAGGTAGTGCTCACGACTCAGAGTTAATGTCACGAGCTGTAACGATACTTGACAATGTCGTGCGAACATTGTTAGAGAACAGCATAAAGCGTCATATATGTAGCCCTAAACACAGGAAATCTGCTCGAGAGCTTACATGAGTTAATGTCGTCGAAGCAGCCGCACCAGCCAGTGCTCCATTGACCGCTAGGAGGATGGTTGCCATCTGCCATTGTCGACTAATCGAGGAACTTCCGCAGGACAAGATCAGTAATAAAACAGAGACGGAACTAGCGATTAGGGCCGATAGCGACGGAAGACCCTAGACCACAATGTCAAGGCCAAGAAACACCACAAAAACTCGCAGCCAAACTGAAGTGTGGAGAATCAAGGACACGGTTTCATATAAGAAATTTATCAGCCATACCGTGTGAGAAGTGGTCACTGATGGCGTGGCGTCTACTGCAAGGCGACGATGAGAGTGACTCGTTCGGTTGGGTTCGTTCAGTTAGGATTGGGCTTGATCTGTCTAGGTGATGGGTGGTGGTGAAGGCTTGCGTGCAGTTGAGGGAGAGGTTGGGACATTCCACTGTCCTTGACATTGGCGTGCCCAAACCAAGTCGTTCGGTTCGGTTCGGTTCGCACATTTTTGTGATAGGCGTACCACACCACACCACGAGTCTGCTGTGCTCCACGTGAGGCGCGCACGAAATCGACGCTTCGAGAGGTTGCTGCTGCCGCCTTGCTGCTCTCCGTTCCATCAAGGGCGGCACTCCAAACCTGTTTTTGGGACAAGGCCGCCCAGCCGAAGCGCCAGTAAAAGCCGCTGCTCAGCCCCATTCGTGGCGTAGCACCCGAGCCTGGACGTTTCATTTTCCTTCAATGTTAGGGCTGGAATGGAACATTCCCACCAGGGCAGATATGCTGCCCAGCCTGTGATTTTGAGCAGGGGGGGAGGGCATCCCTTGCCAGATGGACGCAGCAACTGCCTGTGGCCAACTTGCGTGGCTTGTCGAAAAGGCGGGGAGACGCAGGTACAGAACAACGTCCGAACAAGGGGGGAAACTTACTGCCGCGGACTGTCCACGAAACTTTTCATACTTTCGTGGACTCCAGGCATACTTCCATAGACACACGCATATTCGCAGTTAAAAAGGAGTATAAGGCGATGTACAAGTGATTACGGGCACAAAAATAGAAATACTCCAGACTATCTGTACGTCGCAAGTAATCGCGAGCTACAGTGTCGGAAACCAGTTTGGAAACAGAATCTCGGAGGCTTTCTAGTAAGAGTTAGCAGCCGCACTCAAATATGCAGCAAACTTTCGAAACAATAGTGTATTAGGGTCCGCGTGATAGAAACACTTTTTATTCAAATATGACCACTCGGCAAAAGCATAATATGCACGTGCTTGAACAAGCCAGCATCAACCAGCATTTGCTTTCTCATTCATAGTATATTATTTCATTATTAGGAATTCTGTGAACGAAAAAATTGAACATGAGAAATATATGTTTTAGAATAACTTGTTTTTATTTACATTAAGTATTTTTCTCATTCGAAAAATAAAAATAAAAAATAACGTTCCAAAAATTGTGAATCTAAAATACTTGTGGTATCAATTTCTCGCCTATTATTGTTTTTTTATGGATCGAACTTTTATTAATAATACTATAAAACATGAAACCTTCCATTTATACAACCATGTTTACCAAACGTTTTTTGTACTCGAAGATTTCACATCTTTATTGAAAATCCAATCCAAATATTAGTTGAAATATTTGGAAATGCCATAATTTATAATTTTCTCGATTCATGGTGGGCAGAAATTCCAAACAGTTTTCTTGGAACTACTATGATTTTTACTGAGCTCTATTAACCTTGTAACCATGATATATATCTTTATTCTACAACGTGAATCCTTTGTAGCGAGATTTAGCATACTCGATCTGCTATACTTGTCATTCAACTAATACCGCCTCGTCAAAATCGTTCAAATGATTTTTGAGGATCACTTCAGAATTTCTTTAAACACGCGAAAGAGCTAGCGGACTTGGTGGCTTGCAATTACTGTAGCTTGCGACTATTTGCGAGGGACTTGATTACGCCATTTTTTCCCCTCCTGTCAGCATCTGTATGTTTTTTTTTTTTTTTTTTTTTAAAATTTTATTCGTGTGTGTCCATGGAAGTAAGCTTGGAGTCCACGAAAGTATTGACGGAGTCCACGGGAGAAGCAAAGCTTCGATGTGATGTCCATGAAAGTAGGGTTTGTCCACGACAGTATGAAAAGTTTCGTGGACAGTCCGCGGCAGTAAGTTTCCCGATAAAGGGACACGCAGAACCGGCAGGTTTGCAAAGAATTATCACTGGCACTGATTGGTGGAATACTGCTAGGTTTGGGCTCTGACGGTGCCATGTGTGACACAGGGCGTGTAACATTTTTTACGAACACGCCTCAGGGTCGACCATTTAGGGAGGTTGAAAGCGGTATGGTATGTTGTGCTGCGATATTATTTTTAAAACTAGTGGTACAGTACGGAGAATGCTCGGTTCGGAGACTGCTCGTGAAAATGTTACACGCCCTGAAGTTTCCCAAGCTTGTGCGCTTCCGTCAACGTGTGGTTCGAGGCGGTAAAACACGGAAACTGGTTCCGACTGTATGGCACCGTACACGAACGCTTTAATTGAACGTGGGGGCGTAATCTTGGGATTTGGGACAGCCCTAAGGGCAGGGCAGACGAGATTTTGTGGAGGAGGACAGCAAACCACAAAAAGCACAACCATCCATTGCAATCTAGTTCAGGTGTGTTGTCCAGATCAACGAGGCCAATACCACATGGTACAAGACCAAACCTGCCAACGAGCTATGGTGCACTGCGTGTTTTACCCTACTAAGGACATCGATCCTTCGGAATATCAATTTTGAGGACTTATAATAGGGTAACCACGTAGTAACCAGTATACAACAGAACTTGAACTGGGTGGAACACCACTCATCGATTTCGGCAATCGATGTGTTCAAATTATATAAGTTATAATTTAATATAGGCTTGGTAGGTTGTTACTGAACCTTTCTGTAGGGGGTACAAACCCCTCCTTGTACTCCCCTCTCTTCTAATCCAACATCTTTTCTCTCCTCAACTTTCCTAGCACCTAAAACCTCTCGCCATTCTCATGGCTCCTCCTAGCTCCTAGCTAAACCTTGTGCCATTCTATGGCTTCCTAGCTAAGCTAGTTTCTGACATGGTATTAGAGCAGTTCGTTCCGCATGGGCCTGCTCCTCGCGTTTCCGCTGCGTGCTCGTTTCTCTCTCTATCTCGCGCTGCCATGGCGGCCGCGTCAAGCTGCTGTGGCCGCGTCGTCGTGCCGCGGCGCCGCCGTCGACGTCCATGGCGCCCGCGTCCAGCTGCTGTGGCCGCGCCGTCGTGCCGCAGCTCCGCCGTCGCGTCAAGATGCTGTCGCGACGTGACGGCGCCGTCACGCTGCCGCGGCGTCTACGCGACAGCGCGCGGTCGGCGTAACGGCGACGTCGTGTTGCCGTCGCAACGTCGACGCCCCGCTGCGGCATCGACGCCGCTCCATGACGGCGTCGTCGGGCTGCAGCCGGCCGCGTGACGCTTGTGGCGCCGCTAGACCGGCCGCCCGCATGTCAGCCTGTGGCGCCCCCCCCCCCCACCCCCCTCCTTCCCTTGTGCCCTCTTCCATTCCGCAGACGACGGCTGACTCCCGCCGGCCGTCCCACCGTCGCGGGGCCTGGCCACGTCGCCGAGAGGTGCGGGTGCCGCCGCCGCTGCCGCTGTTGTCGAAGCCGCCGCCGCCGCCGCTGTCGCCGCTTGCGTCGGGGCCACGCAGCCGCACGCCGCCGCCGCTGCCGCTGTCGACACTGCCGCCGCTGCTGCCGTCGCCGCCGCAGCCCCTGCGGTCGACGTCGCCGCCTCACGCGCCGTGGGGTCGACCGCCCTAGAGTCGCTGTCACTGTGGCTGGAATGGGGGTGCTAGGTTAGGGGGTGTGGGTGTGTGTGGGCATGTGACTACCAAGCCTAGGGGGTGTGTTCAAATTATATAAGTTATAATTTAATATAGGCTTGGTAGGTTGTTACTGAACCTTTCTGTAGGGGGTACAAACCCCTCCTTGTACTCCCCTCTCTTCTAATCCAACATCTTTTCTCTCCTCAACTTTCCTAGCACCTAAAACCTCTCGCCATTCTCATGGCTCCTCCTAGCTCCTAGCTAAACCTTGTGCCATTCTATGGCTTCCTAGCTAAGCTAGTTTCTGACACGATGTGCCACATTGGTCAAGCCAATCGACGATCGATTGACCAGCACGTGTGCGCAGGTCAACAGTACCAATCGGGAGTGCGCCAGATTGTGCGACACGTTGGGAGTTCGCAAATTCGCTTTGATTCTCGAGAAAATCAAAAGCGGGACAACCTCAGGCGTCTTGACCATCCACTCGTACCGTGAACGTTCATTTTTGGGATGCGGAGCAACCTATTACGATCGATTTTGCTGATTGGTTTTTCACACAATTTTGAAGGAAAAAAATTGCACAGTAAAATATGACATATATTTTGGGAAAAGTGTATCGGCGCTCATTATTAGGGCTACGCTAACATGCTAGATAACGCAAAACCCTCTTAGCAGCAAACCAGTGCTATAGTCGGTGTCTGCTGGAGGCCACAAAGCGGGCCAGGATGCTGAGAGGGTATGCGAGCTCAGGACGAGTGCAAGTCATTAGGTACATGAGGTAACCCACTAGCTTTGCGTAAGGACCACTAGGCTCTACAGCCTCCTCCGGAGCTGAAGCAGAGAGTCTGAGGTCTACTGGCAGAGGGGTGGGCTATGTGGAAGAGAACTGAAGGCCGAACCTCTGAAGGACCTGGCGCACCAAGTGTGACTGAGTGAGAGTGATGGTGCGCGCTGCTTTGTCCAGGAAGATCTGCAAGCCAAGGTAGCAGGGCAGCTCTCCTAGGTCCGTGCAGGTGTGTCTCCTCAGCAGCTCGGCCTTCACGGAGGCCAGTGCGTCTCTGTCTGCAGTAGCAAAGACCAAATCGTCTATGTAAACAAGGATGTAGAACGGAGTCTGGCCGGAACGAACGAAGAGCGAGGGGTCCGCAGACGACGGGAAGAACTGCAGGTCAGCAAGTGTAGCCCGCAGCGTGTCGTGCCACTCACGGGGCGCCTAGCGCAGGCCGTAGACGGGGCGACGGAAGAGCCACTCAGTACCAGGGGGAAAGGTACCGGAGAAGCCCTGGGGGCGGCGCATGTAAACCTGCTCGTGTAGACTGCCCTGGAGAAAAGCTGTGGGGAAGTCGAGTGAGTGCAGCTCGTAGTCACGCTGTGGTGCTACGTGTAGCAGTACCCGAAGAGTAGTCATCTGTGGGGTCGGGGCGAAGGTCAGAAAGAAGTCCACCCCCTCATGCTA